AAAACGTTGATTTGGAAGTTCACGCAAAAATTGTCGGATTTTAATGAAACATTCAGGCCTTATTCACAAATGCCTGAAACTATTTTTTTTTTTTTTTTTTTTTTTTTACAACTCTTAACACACACTTATTTAATTTTATGAAAAAAAGTTAATTACAATTCAGTCACCACCAATATTTTAAAAAGAATTTTTAATTTTTTTTGTTGTGAGTGTATAAACATGCTGAGTTTTGTAAATATGAACATCCATACATGATATTATCAGAAAATAAGTGGTAACTATAGTAAATTTAAATCCAAAGTAGCTAAAATTCAATAAAACATTAAATTACAGAGAATATTTTCCTAAATTTTTAAGATTACTGGGTAATTAAAAATAATATAAAGAAAGTGCTCATGTTATATTCCTCAAGTAATTTTTACAGGTATATTAAATCCTCATAGTAAAAAATTAGATAAACTTCCAGTTGTCAGTTAAACTGTCAACACCTAATCAAAACACATTCCTCTGTGTTAACATAGGTACCTCCACGAAATCGCTAAAAAAAGAGCATAGCTTGATGAAAAAGATGCCAAGCTTGCTGAAAACAAAATTTTATCATCTTATGTTATTATTAAGAGGAAAGACCAAAATTTTTTTTAATTATTTTTAAAAATTTTTCCTTCTTTTTAGAACATTCTAGATTTTGATTAAAAAAAAAAACCTTGTTTCTCTTTGTATCACTGAAACTAGTAAAATAACATAGACAATTTTTAGCACGTTTTTTTGGTATGACACACATTAATTTGGAAAATCTTGCAAAAATAAAAATAATTATCGGATGTTAATGAAACTTTCAGGAACTATTCACAGATGATCGAAATTATTATAATATATTTTTTTTTTTATAAGAAATATTTTTTTTTTATATTTATTACCCGCCCAACTAATTTTATGAAAACGCTAGATATTCAACCGCATCGGGTTTAGTGATTACAATAGTTAAAAGCACAAGGCTTTGAGGAATACAAATCATGTTTTTTTTAGTTTTTAATTGGATTGTTTTGACTAATCAGAAGATCTGCAGTAATTAAGAAATGTAATTTTGTGTTTATAATCAGGCTGTAATTATAAAGTACAGAAGACCAACCAGAATACAATTAAGTTGTGTTATTTGAGTTAAGCATTGTTCGCTGCTGTTATGGTCTTTACTTTTGCGAAACACGTGTGGAGAAGTTAATTTGATTTTTCAATTTCAACTGAGAAGGGTACCTACAAGTATCAGTATCATCTTATGAAATTTGTATGATCTTATTTTTATATTAATTTCAGTTATGACATTTTTCCATAAATGAAATATCAAAATTAATAATAAAATGAATGGAAATACAAATAACAGTCAAATGTAATAAATGTACATAAAATTATAGTATTTTATGTACACTTCTGATAAAATTTCATAAGAAAGGTACCTATAAATTAGATACCTTTCTTATGAAATTTAATGTCACTCTTAACAGTCTTATTTTAATTTCTTTATGATATATTTTTCATAAATCATCGTAAACGTAAAGGTGAAAGCTAAGTACAAAAAAAAAATAAAGCGCTGAAAGTTTTCCTTAAAAATAACGAGGTAAATAATTTGTTCACTTAAATGTAAATTATTTCACTTTTCTCCTTCCGTAGAACAAATTAGCCTCATGGAATCCGTAAATATATCATTTATCACATGTCAAAAAGCGAAAGTTTATGACCTATTTTGTTTTATTTTCAAATTACATTTTTTGGCAAAAAGCTAAGTTAAGTTTGGTTCAAGATATTTTAAATAAGCATTATAATTTCTGATTTTCTTAAAATAAGTTTTGAAAAAATGATAATTGATATTTAAAAGAATTTCAAAGTGAGATTTCCAGTTTTTTTTATAAAATGGAAAAAAATGGTCAATTTTGCTGACTAAAAAAAAACAAGATTTTGAATGAAAATTTCCGACATGCTAGGAACAATTAAAAAATGTAAAAAAATACCCCAAAAATACTTTGATCTTTTCTCTTACTAATAACATAAACATTTAGATGATAAAATTTTGTTTTCGTCAAGTTTGGCATCTTTTTCATCATGCTATGCTCTTTTTTTAGCGATCTTGTGGAGGTACCTATGTTAACAACTGCATTTCTGTGATATTTTAAACAAAAAATGCTTCAAATCACATTGATTCAACTTGAAATATATGCTATTATTCCTCAAATAAAGTTTCAGAAAAGTATATTTTACTTTTGAAAGTTTTTTTTTGATAAAGATAATTACATTGTGCTGACAGATAACTAAAAATGGTGAAAATCAGCAATTTTTTTTCCTCCTTCCAGTCAATTTAAACTAGTTTTGAATACAGAAAAATATTTTGCTTATTGGAAATATTAAATTTAATCTATTAGCTTGAAATTAAAACTAAAATAAAAACTTTAAGGATGATTTTTTATTTATAAACATTAGTTTTAAACCTTATTTCTTTGTTTAATATGCACTCATACTCACATAATTTGATTGAGATTCCCTTCTTAGGAAGCAATAAAATTTCATAAAAATAAGACAAAGAACTGTCTCCATAGATGTCTATTACTGTTAAGACGGATGTTATAAGGGGGCTAACTTGCTCCCTAAATGCGAACCAAATTATGCCCCCTTGATTGCAGCTCTCATGGACAACAGAAAAAAAGGGATTTCAAGATGGCGGTCATGCATCCTCAAATGTCATGTATCAAACTATCAATCAACCAGTAATCCACTGGTCATGTTTTACATATATTGTTATCCAACAATAAATAAAATGTATCAGGGTCTGAATTGTGTGTTCTTTCTTATTTGGCACAAATAAGCATACACCAAATATCACAATAATCGCGCATTAATATCAATTTATTCATATTGTTATAGACAAGCATATGGTTGCAAGAACGACAACAGCAGAAATAGATTTACGTGATTTATTTCAATAGGAACGTGTGGGTTTGGGACAGCTACCTTGTGGTATAGTTCATAAGCCGGCTCCCGGTCTGGGTTGATTTCTCATAGTAGTTCACACTGGTTGGCATGGCGCTTTCCTCCTGCTGACTGACCGTGATGGGTCTCTTCCTGGCCTCCTGTTGACTGCTGTTGTACTTCCCCCCAATTGATCCCTTTTATGGCGTTTTTTATGGCTTAACAGGCTCAAAAAATGACGCGAGTATAATTAGGAGGAATTTTTTTTATTGGTTGAAAAATAGAAACACTTTAAAATATTATTTTATTTTTGACCAGAACTATTCAAAGGCCAGGCTTATGCGTGACAATTAATAATGGCCATTTTGTGACAGGGCCTTGTCCCGTTCACATCCGGCTCTCACTCTTAAGTATGTTAGTTTATTTGCCTGCAAATCATCCGAGATATGTCTTATTTTATTTTATAACAATATCTATTCATTGGTACTTAGAAATTGATAGCAGAGTGATGGCTGTAAAGTCAATGTCCAGTTTATTACTTATGATAATAAAGTGAATGTAGGTATAATTTAAAATAAAAAAATTAATGGTCACAGAAAGCAAATTCAGATAAAAATGGAACATGTGGAATGTTTAAAAAAAAATGACTAAAAAAAATTCCTTCTCAACAGTTAGTGATCATACAAAGCTGTCCAAGTGTTTTAGCTCAATCTTTAGTTGTTTCTGTTTTTCCAGTTTCAGCTGGACTTGCAGGAGCTCTACCAAGATCCATAGATAATGCTTGAATAAGAGTATTCGTTTACCAATATTTATTTTAAAATTTTATTAATCGCTAAAACTTTTCAAATTGATTGCAACATTTTGTGTAGCAGGGTTACCATTGTAATAACATTTCCTTAGTTTTCAGTTGTGTCTTTAGCAGGAAAGGTAATGATTGTCAACTGTTTAATGTTAGCCAGTACTTATTTAAAACTTTGTAAATGCTCCCAATTGCAGGGACTTGTGAAAAAAAGAAAGCAACATCAAAAGAATTATCAATAAAAAAAATCACTAAATCAAAAAAAAAATCCCTGTAAAAATACTTTTGTTGAATTAATACAGGACTGGGAAGAGGACTGAGAAGAGATATTTACAAAGTTGCTGAAAATGAGACTATGGACTCATTGTTTTAATACGCACAACAGAAATACAGTGTATGGCAGAAATACGAACCACATAATGGTAAGACATTAGCTAGATGAAAACACCAATGCCACTAATGTCTTATGCACTTTTGCCATACCCTGTATTTCTATTTTATCTTCACATCTATGTCTTTTAATTGATTATAGTTTTTGTTTTTTTAATTATTTTAAAATACATTGAACATACATTTTATATTTGGTCAAATACATAGACATGAACATTATAATATTCTTTTTAAAAACTTTGTGCTGTTTTCATAGGTAACCCACTAAAGCTTAAAAAACCTTGCAAAAGCAATTTTGCAGTTGTCATTTGAAAGATCAGGTTATTTTGTGACTATGATTTGGACACCCACATAGAAGAAGAGGTGTGATCTTATTTTGACTTCAAGTGTTTGGATGGTTGCTTTTTGAGATGAAGCAACAACAAAACTAGAAATGGGGTGTATCCAGTTGCTGGTCTATATTAACAATCAGAAAGAACTGATTTATGAGATCAACATGGTGGAGGTTGTCCTGGGTGTCACCTACACACCCACAGAGGTGAGTGGATGAAGCCCTAAATAAAGCATCCACACATAATATGGGAAACAGGGTTCACATACTCATTTCTCAATGTAACACTTGTTTTTCATTACATTATGAGCATGCAGATGGCCTTTCCCAGCTTTTGGTACATATTGACAAGAATGGAACACAATGTGGGAAAATAATTGGCTGGACTTTGGAAAACTTGGGTGAGGGTTGCATATGTTTATATTTTTTATCTGAAAACATTCAGATATGTATATGTAAAAAACAATATATAAAAGTTAATAGTTTTTGGATAATTGGAATCTCTACTTTCTTAATTTTTTTCAGTCTATGATGTCTCCAGCAAGCAATCCTTTAATAAACTTGATGCCTGGTTAAATGAGTTGGAAACATTTGCCACAAAACATGACTTAGTCAAGATGCTTGTTGGAAATAAGATTGATAAAGTAAGTATATGGTAAGAAATTATCTTTTGAAAACTAAAGTGCAGAATGTGTTTAGACGCTTGTGGGCTTTTTATTGTATTTTGATCTTCTTTTTTGGGTGGGGGGGGAATTTTTCTTTAGAATATGTTGTAAAAAAAATTAGTTAGAATAAAGAAGAATGTTAAAATAGCATAGATAAAATAAATACAAATCTACAGACATATCTTAAGAAGTTAAGAACTCCAAATACAAATTCAGACTTATCAAGTCACAAAATGAAAGTTGTCTTTTATCCTTGGACTACATTGTTTTTAATTTTCATAAATGACTTTCCTGATGTCATCAATTTTCAACTTGCTATCTGTGCTGATGACATAACTATTGACTCCTGTCTTAATAGTAAGTCTGGTTTGATGAGGTCAAATTGGCAGCTGATCTCAAAAATTACCTACAATCTATTGTTAAATGGGTTCAGAAGTGCCTTGTTAATTTTAATGCCTCTGATTTTCACGAAACTGCATCTTTTAAACATCTGAAAGAATCTTTTTTTTTCTTTCATCAGCATGTCTGATGCTAGCCTTCAAAAGAGTGACTCGTTGCGCCTTCTTGGACTAGTGTTTTCAGTTAGCATGAAGTGGAAAGAGTATATTGAATCAATTGCTAAGTCTGCAGCTAAGAAAGTTGGTTCACTATATCATGCTAGACTATTTTTCTTGCCAGAATATATTTTACATACATATAAGTCTATCCTTCATCCTTGCTTTGAATATTGCTGCCACATCTTGTCTGGTGTTCCTACTATATATTTAAAGATTCTTGATAAAATACAAAGAATAATCTGCGATGTTATTTGTCCTGACCTGACATCTCGGCTTCAATCCTTTTCCCACCACCGTAACATAGCTTCCCTGTGTCTTTTCTATAAATACTTTCATGGTAATTGTTCTGATGGTACCTAGACTTTATGAATTTAAGCACAGTACTAGATTGGCAGCATGGTCTCATCATTTTATAGTTGAGATGGCTAGATGTAAGTGTAAATTCTATGCTCATTGTTACTTCTATCGTACTTCTTACTTGTGGATTTTTCTTCCAGCTTCTTGCTTCACAACTTTGTTCTTCAAAAATTTAAATGCAATGCCAATTGTTATCTTTTGTCTTCTTATTTCTTGTTCTTTTATTGTCTCATTAATAGTAGTTTTTTCTCATATTCTCTAACACTTAGTAACCCCTTGATTCCTGGTGGCTTTATTGCCTTGCTTGGAGGGGTAAAATGTATTTAAAAAAATATGTTAATGATGGACTAATAGAAATAACTGATTACTGGGATAAGTCTTACAGTTTTCTTAAACAGGATTGAAGTGACATATTATTAGGTTGAGTAATAAGCAAGTACAATTTTTGAAAACCAATTGTAATGGCAAATGTATCATCCTAACTACTAATCAAATGTAACAGTTAAGAATAAATTTGGAGTACACTGACATTCCTTTTTTTGTGTGTGTGTGGCAATGTACACAGTGAATTAAAGAATAATTTTCTTAACCCCTTAATTGCATTTATATCACATAATGTTATAGGAGTTCAAGCAAAGAAATAATGCTATGAAAAAATATATACTTATGGTTAAGGGGTCATAACTGACAAGCAACTATAAAATAGGTTTGCTAAGTTTCATTCTGGAGAAATGTCACTGGCGATGAACTGAGATCAGGGTATTCATTAAACTTTGATGATGAAGTTCTAAAGTTGCCAATGGAAAGCAATCTATGGCAAAGTACTTGGGAATTAGCAAAGATGTTAAACATATCACAATCTACTATATGCCAACATATAGAAAAGATTTGGAAAGCTGAATGTTTTGTTTCTACACTTTCTTAGTGAAAAGAAAGTGAATCATTTACCCATAGTGACAAGTTTTCTTTTACAACAGAAATAACCTGTTCCTTAAATAAATTATAACAGGTGATGAAAAATTGCTTACATACACCAGCATTCAATGCAAGAGGTTGTGGATTGACAAGGATAAGTCTCCACAGCCAACCCCAAAAGCTGAGCTTCATGGATAAAAGAAGTGTTGTGCATGTGGTAGGATCATCAGAGAAATATTCATTTAGAGTTCTTAAAACTCAAACACTAAATGTACATTTATACATACAGCAGCTGCAAAGTGTCCATAAAAAAAAATTGGTGAAAACCTGCCTTGTGCTCATCAATAGGAAAATTTTGTTTTACATTACAACACAAAAATGCATACAGCAAAAAATCCAAAAAAATTTGGGAACTCAATTAGTCTGTTTTACTCTACTCACCATATTCCCTTGACCTTGACACAAACTTCTGTGCTTTATTTCTTGAATTATTTATGACTCAACCTAATAGTATAATGCTTCTGTTATTTTAGAAATTGCTCAAACATTAAAAATAATCCATTATTTTATTAGTGAAATTGTTTGTTGGAATATAATTGAATTAAAAATATATAACTTTATGAATTATTTTTTACGATGAATAAAATTTGGACTGTCTTTTTTTAATGTCATGTCCTGTCAGGATGTAGCAATCATTATTTTACATAGATTTTGTTTCTTATTTGTGAATTGCCATTACTTCTTTGGAAAGATAGTGGAGTATTTTCCTGTTGCCTTCTCTATAGTTTTGAATTCAGAGTTGTCCTCCTAGACTGGTTGCTACCTAAGACTAGAAACCTTAATTTATCCTGAAATTTAATCCATTAGTATTTGTGTGAAAGTGAATGCAACAGATTAGGTAAACATTTGAACTTTGTTTGCCAATTCTGTTTTCTGTGCCAATGACTATTAGGCTAGGCTACTTACACATCTCCTTTTACAGAAATCTTTTTAAAGCCACCATTTTTTTTTTTTTTTTTTTTTTTTTTTTTTTATCCAGGAATATTTGGGATATAAAATTTATCAGGAAAAGGAACAAACAAAAATTTTCAACACTGTAAAGATCATTTGCTTAATAGTTGCATTGTAATCATTGATAATGGTCATTACAATATTTTATCTTTGTGTAACATTTACAAATAATTTTATTTAAAAATGGACTTGCCAAAGTCTGTAACTTATCTACTTGAAATTATTTACTCATTTAAACAGATGCTCTATATGGTTCAATAGTTGCCTGTGTTGGCTTTCAGGATGCAGGTTTTTGGGGTTTTTTTCACATTGATAAGAATTTATTTCAAAACATTTTTACAGCAAAACTTTCAATTCTACAAAGTAAAATTACTCAGCGTAGATTCCAGAGGTAAAAATTTTCCAAATTCTTGTCGATTCATTTACTGGAGTGGAAGTACTGACTAAAGTCTCTGGTCTAACACAAATTGTTTCCAAGCAGTGTATTTTTCTGGTGGGGTTAGAACTTATTGGTGGTCATTTTCTTTCACGAAGAAAATATTTGCTACCAGAAATGTTTAAGCTGTAAAATTACCTTTTTTTTCTGAAAGATAAGAGTAAATGCTTAAACTCCGTACATCCTTTAAATCTTCAATTTTTAAATAAAATGAGATAAAAAGGGTAATTAACTAAAAATATTTATCTTGTTTTTCAGGGTTATATTTAGAGAATTTATTTGATAGATTTGGTAATCGACCAAAATTTGATTGGTAGAAGAAGGGAAAAAATATACTTTTAATAATTTTAAATATGTATATAAAATAAAATTATTCATATTTGAAAGTTTTGTTATATTTGTTGAGTTCTGTCATTTTTAATTGTATAATATTTACATATTTAATTACATTTTACGTTTATTTCAATGGTAAAATTATATAAATAGGCTGTGCTTTTTCTGTGTGCCTAATATTATTTTTCACATACTTTTACCATCATAAATATATATTTGAACCAAACAAAAAATTCAATTAATTGTATAGCATTAAAAGTATTAGAATGAAAAGTTACATATTTCTGTTGTTTTATAGAATACAAATCCCTCGTTTAAAATCACTTTGAAAATGTTTTGTCACTGATGGACTGTGTCACTGATTTTACTTTGCTTCTTTTTGACTTGCAGAAACTTTGTATAGACATGTGAAGCAAAAAACTCTGACACAGGATTAAGATCTTTTGTAGTATCAAAGTTTTCTCTCTATGAAAATGTAACATTTTTAGGACAATGATTGAAGAATATTTAATAAACCATGTTGGTTATGCAAGAAGTTGTTTCTAAAGAATGAATGGATTAATTTTTAATCTCACTTTTTTATTACTTTAATAACATTTGAAGTAATGCAAGAAGTTTAAATTTTTTTTCATTACATTTCAAAATCAATTTTATTTTGATTGATTTTGAAACTTGACCTTCATTTTTAAGCTATTGGTTAAAAATATTCTATGAATTTTTAACAAAAATATTTTTAATTTAATTTTTGAACAAAGAATTTGAACTTTCCATCAGCTTTATCAATTAAATCATCAGAAACATGTACATGTCCATTAAATGTTGTGGAAAATCTACAGCATTTTCATTACTATGCATCACAAAGTGAAAGACAAAGATATATATTTTAATATACATGTACAATTCCCTTGATTCATTGCATCATGACATCTGAGAAAATTTCATGCTCTCTTGCAGGAGAAACATTTCTTATACTGAAGAAGGTCAATTGATACAAAACAGTTAAAAATCAATAAAAAGATTCATTTTTAGTGAACCTGTTTAAATTAATTTTTTCTTTATAATAACTTATGAGAACTTTGAAAACATGACATTTTGCAATTCTCATGCAATAAGAAAAATTCCTTATGGTATTTCATTTTGGTCATAAAGTGCAGGCCTTGTGATATTATAAATTAATTATAATCATTTTTTATTTTAAGCAAAGTCGTGGAAAATAATTTTACAGTTTCTTGGTTTTATAATTGAAAAATGTTTATCTTAAAGAATTAATATTTTAGGTAAAACTTCTTAAAAAGTAAAATCAGTTTCTATTAAGTTAAAATTTTAAATTGTGTTTTATACAGATATTAAAGCCATAATTTCTTGTATTATTTTCACTTGCATATTCTTGTGAATAATTATAACAGGAAAGGAGAGAAGTAAGTAAAGAGGAAGGCCTGAAGTTTGCTCGAAAACATCGAATGCTATTTATTGAGGCCAGTGCTAAAACAAAGGAAGGTGTACAATATGCATTTGAAGAACTGGTGGAAAAGGTACACTTGCAAAGCTTTTTTTGTATTCCAAAATCTTTTATCTTTTCAAAAATAAATTTGTAAATGATGACACCTCAGTATTAAAGTGAAGCTATTATATTAAAATCAAATACTGATCAGTGGCACTTAAAGCTATATTTTGATAGTTCAGGTGGTTTTACAAGTAAAACTTTGTATATAAACATATTTCATGTATTGAAGATGTTGTATTTAGGCATGTCTTTTTTGTTTCAATTGTAATTTTCCTGTTTTGTAACATCAAAACAAACATTTATTAATCAAAATTAATAAACAATTATTTCTTAGTTGTAATTTTTATGACCTGCTTTTTATATAATATGGAGGTACATGATTGTAATTTCAAGGATGTGTATCTTTCAACTTAAACAGAAGTTATCTTTTTAGTTGTGTATATTAACAGCATACAATGAAATGAGATATGGATTATTAACTGACAATGGGTTCTCAACACTTGCATATATAAAATATGTGAAAAGTAATGAATTTTTAATGGTCATTAGATCAAGTTTGATAAAGTAGATTTACAAGATGTAAACTCAATTTGGATTACTATATTTATGATTAACTGAGAATATATTTTAATTTTAAATGAAATGCAAATACATATGTAATGAATATTAATTGAATCAAAATCATTCTTGTTACAGTTAAATTTCAGTTAAGTTTATCCACTGTGCCTTGTGTCCCTGAGGACATTGGTGTATGAATTTCTGGGTATTATAAACCTAATGTCTTCAGTAACCATTTTTTACCAGAGCTCATATTGCAATTTTCATTGTTGTTATCACTTTTCTCTGGCACTCCTTATTACTGGTTCCCATATTGTATTCATTTCTATGCTTGGTCAGCTCAGATGTTTTGTGGCCTAGCATATGTGCTGATTCCTTAAGTTTACGAATTTTCCAATGATGTTCTTTGTCTTTCATTTCAAACTGTTCCTATAAAGGGTGGTGATCTCCCTTTTCTCTCCATATGTAGTCATCCACGCCTGAATTTTTTCAACTTCCCCTCGTGTTACAGCTTTCTGGTGTTCAGAGACATTAGATAAAGAATTGATCAATATAAGTAGTACTCTACAACATAACAACTACCCTGGGTGCATGGCAGCAGCACCAATAAACTGGGATAACCAAGTACAAGAGGACAACAACTCTCAGAAAACAGTCTGCCTGCCTTATATGAAGGGGTTATCAGAGAAAATACAAGGGATCTGCAGTCCATATAACATCAGGACAACCTTCAAAAGCTGGACGACACTTTGCAGATATCTCTCCAGAGTAAGACCCCCTCACATAGAGGAAAACATGACTAAAGACTGTGTTTACCATCCTGTGCAGCTGTGGAAAGAAAGGTACGGCTTCAAGAACACCAGAAAGCTGTAACATGAGGGGAAGTGGAAAAATCAGGCGTAGCTGACCACATATGGGGAGATAAGGGAGATCACCGCCCTCTGTGGGATCAGTTTGAAATCATAGACAAAGAACATCATTGGAAAATTTGTAAACTTAAGGCATCAGCACATATGCTAGGCCACGAAAATCTCCTGAGCCAACCAAGCATAGAAATGAATACAATATGGGAGTCAGTAATAAGGAGTGCCAGAGAAAAGCGATAATAACAATGAAAATTGCAATATGAGCTCTGGTAAAAAAAATGGTTGCTGAAGACATTAGGTTTATAATACCCAGAAATTCATACACAGATGTCCTCAAGGACACATGGCACAGTGGATAAAGGCATTAGTTAGATTCAGTACTTGGTTAAGGGGAATTAACAGGAGATAACTGATATCCATTAGACATGGCACATGGAACTAGAACAGTCTACCCCAGCAAGTGAAATAAAGGGTTTAGTTTCGACATTCCAATCGCCTGAAGAAGGCCAGAGTGTACAACGGCTGAAACGGTGTGATAAATATGGCAACAAAGATGAGGACAATAGTCCGAATAATGTAAATAGTACCTCTATTTTTATTTCTAATTTATTTCGGACCTAGGTGACTTCTACTTATTTTTTTTTTATTTTTTATTATATTTATTTTTATAATATTAAGAAGATTAATTTCCAAAAGTTTGTAATATAATTCTATTATTTACTTTTGTTTTCAGATTATTCAAACTCCTGGACTTTGGGAAACTGATAAACAGGGACTGAAACTCTCTGAAAATGCCTCAGATGGCTCTTATTCTGCCTGTGGTGGATACTGTGTAATATGATGTGTACATGTACATGTCTGCCTTTTCTTTTTCTTCCTTGCCAAAACTGTAAATAAAAATTCCTCGCTGATAATTATAATGCAACTGTTTATTACATACACACACATTTTCTTGGTTACTGACTTCAAATTCTGAAACTGATCATAAATTTCACATAGGTTTAGGTATATATGTATGTTCTTTTTCTTCAACCCTTACTGAATATTGGTGCTTTAATTGTTGTAAAAGTACCTCCTCTCTTTTTTTTTCTTCCTCTTCCTACCACTGCTGATTATTTTGCCTGATGGCATGTCAATTTGGTTTCTGTATAACAATTGAATATAGAACAATTATTCTTGGCCTTTTTGCAATTTTTTTTTGTTATCTTCTCAAATTTGCTTACTCATTATTCATTTGGATTTTTTTAAATGGCTTTTTCCCAATGCTACCCTCTAAAACACCATTTTATAGATCATAATGTTAATACCCAGTAATCAATGACAACATACTGGAGGCATTGATTTATTTTTAAGTATTTGATTAACCAGAAATAGAAAAGTCCAAAAAGTCAAATACTTAAAAAGAAAAAAAAAAGAATTTGCATTAAGATGACAAATCCTACCCAGATGGTTTAGAATCTATTTTTAACTAAATAGAATTATCATCAATAGCTGTCCATTAATCTCAGTAAAAATGTAGAATTAAAAACACTTTCATTTACTTGTTTTATTAATGTATTTCTTATACTGACAATTTAGTAAATTGTAGGAATCCATCACAAAAAAAAATCAAATTTTGAGAAACACTACTATAGATTGTCAAATGCAAATATTTTTACTATAAGGTGCATTGTATAATTGAGTTTTGGATGAGGAGAATTCTGCTTGAAAATTTTGGTCTTTTGTCCAGAGGATAGTGATGATAGTTTTTTCTGCTTTAAATCCTTATTTGCTAAGGTCAACTACAGTGTATTAGGAAGATGGAATTTGTATAATTCTCTTTTCAATACTTATTTTATTTTTTCTACATTTATTTGGTTGCTGTGTATTCTCATATCATCAAGTGATATGGGTATGGTTGAAGAAAAATTTACTGTATGAAAGATGTAAATAGTTGTTTTATTGATACTGTTTTGCAAAAATTAGATAATTTGTGAAATAAAGAAAAATGAAAAAATTATTTTTTAACAAATTTATGAGCTCTAAACATTTTTGTTAATTTTTTTTCCATTTAAAAATATTCCAGTAATAATTTTGAGGAATTTTGTCATTCATATTTGACTTTCATTTGCAGTTCAAATTTATCAAGATAAAAGTCCTATTGTTTGCTAGAGGAAATATAGTTTATATAGTTACTTTTCTCAGTAATCTCAAGAAATTTTTTATGGTTGAGTTGATTGTTTAATTGACAATTATAAATGATACTACTTGAAAAGTTTTATAAGTTCATATTTAAGATTTTCTTCTTTTTACTCTTATTGCTTAAAGGTTATTTATGCCTTTTATATCCCTTTTAATTGGTTGGTTAATTGTATATTTTTTTTCTCTTATTTGTTCATGAAGAACAGATAAGTGAGAAAAGAAATATAGTTTCTTTTTTATTTATGTAGTTGTTTCTTTTCATTCTATATTTAGAGACAAACATTTTTTGTTTCTTCCACAAGACACTGCAATTTATTTGTTGTTCTGCTGAAGACCAAAACTTCTTGTTTATCATATCTTGTAAATAATCTGATACAGTTTGCTTGTTTCTTAGTAATTAAGAAAAAATGCCAGTATCGTGAAAGTTGCTGCTGTATACAAAGAGTGTCTTTCATAAGACATTCTTCTGCTTTTCTCACTTTAATGTCCTGTTGTATGTTATTTGTCGACCAACTGTTGTTTTCATATTCATCCTGTCAAGCAAAGATTATTAAAAGATTATGTCCATCTATAAGAGCAATAGATCATGTTCAGCTTAAGAGAGCTTAAAGAAAAATTCAGCTTGAAAGAATTTTTTTTTCTTATTTTATTTTGAACACTTTTATTTCTAATGAAAAATTACTTTGTTCATACTTTTTCTCAATCACTGATGGATTTTTCTTTCTTCAAGGCTATTATGTTAGTTACCGTTCCGCTCCAATTAAAATGAACTAACACTTAAATACACATCACTGAAAAATAAATGCATACAATAAATATAATACATTTTTTTTATAAAGACAGTTCATTTAATAGTAAGAAAAAAACAGGTTTTGTCCTATTGAAAAAAAATTAGGCCTTAAGTTTTGTACTATTTTTAGGTCTTGCAGTATTATAGAAAATAACCAGCAGTGCAAGCTCGATTAATTCAAAAATTAATTTATGTAACCCACACACTCTCTCATCTTTCCTCCTCTTCCTCAGTCACTAGCACTAGCTCTGCTAGCATTGTTGAGTAATAGCAACTGTATGGGTCATCTGGCTATCTTTTCTTGTTGGGATGGGTGCTTTTTTGATACAGTTGATTTGGTTTTCTCAAAAGCTTATGATATATGGACCCCTCTATGTACATTGTGTACCGTAGTTAAGAATGTATCATTCTCAACTTATGGCCAACTTCAGAATCTGGCTGGAATAAGAAATCTTTTATTAAAATGCACGAGACTGTTGATAATTCTAACAACAGGTTTATTGAATATAAAAAAACTGGTGAATAAAATGTTTCTTATCTAAGGAAGGACTAAGCTTTCTTCTTGCTGAACCAGTGATTCTCAACCGCTGTGCCACAGCAAACTAGTGTGCCACATAATATTGAATAAATCATGAAAAAACACCAGGCATGGGTCTCTCACTAAATATGCTGCACAAATAGTTGAATATAAACATTGAAATAAAGTAAGTTCATATTTGTGTGCATATTTTTTTAAATCTATGGTTTTATTTCATAACATTTAAATGTATGCCCTTTAAAGATTTTGCTAAATGTGCCACAATATTTCCATTTGCACCTAGGTGTGCTGTTGTGTAAAAAGGTTGAGAAACACTGTCCTGTATGGTGACTAGAGAATTTGGCAGTAATTGTTATAAAATAGTGGAGGCAACTGCCTGTTATGCATGTGTCTGTGTGTTTGCTCTGGTCACTGAAAAAGTGGGTGAGTTTCTTGTGAAGTGGCAGTTGTCTGATGACTCCTTTTCAGACAATTCGCCATCTGTCCCTTAGCCTGGTGTGCTCTTTTATGTAGATGACTCTCTCCCCAAATTTGACATTGATATAACTAATTTCTCTACCCTGACTGTCTTAATCACTGGTCTGTTAATAACCACATGACATTCCTTTGTTATTAGAATGTTCTGTTCTCCGCTTCTGTAAAGATAATGGTGTGTACAACACCAACATAAACAAATCCCAAGCTTGGGAATTACACAAAAAACATGTCTTTTTCTAGAATAATTTGAATCCATTTCTTTTGTAAGAATACACATATATTGGACAGATAATATAATGTAACCCCTCCCTATCCTCAAATTTAATTTCTCAGAATCAAAGCAATTTGAATAATACATTATGTCTTCTTCTTGGGAAATGGCTCAGGTAATAAACCTTGGTTTTGCTCAATTTTACTGAATGTTGACAGTTAATTCTGAGGTCAATTCTCCTTGGAACTCTTAAATTCATTTTTTAAAACATAATTTTTAACCCATTTCTTTTTCATTTTTTTCTCAACAATTCAACCTACTATCCTGAGAATTTAATAATTATTGTCCAATTAGTAGTAATATTTATTCTGCAATTTATAACGGAAATGTGGCACAAGGCCGAAATAGGGGAATGGGGAGAGGACTGTCTTCTTCTGTCTTAGTTTTAACTTAGCTAGCCGCAGTCACTGACCCAATCGTATTTAATAATATTCCTTACACCAAAACAACGATTTATACGTACCTTTCAAACTACAAACACCATAATACCTCATTTTCTCTATGAAAAAACTAACTAAACCCCATATATAAAATGTCTGATGGGGGAGGGAAATATAACAATAATTCTAAAATTAACCCCAATGTTTATTTACAATATGAGCAACAATCTATTTACATGAAACTAAGGAAAATATTATTAGTAATAAAACCCCACAATCACCTACTGTGGCAATAATCCCATTTCTCTGGCGAAATCAATGCGGGACTCTAATAGAATAAATCATTCATTCATCCTTTTGCACTCACACTAACACGCACTCATTCAAACACAACAACAAATACGAAAACACTCACGCGGAAAGAAAAGCGTCCCGCATCCACCAAAGAAATGACATCACTGACCACCTAAAGAGGGAAGGGATGGGAAATTAAACTTAAAGAAAAATAGGGACAAAAACAAAAGGGACCAATGAGCATACATACCCTAGCTAAGTTAACTAAAAGAAAAAGAAACTAAAACGTCAACAAACGAACCTAAACTAACCTAGTTTCTGGATGGGTTGCACGAGTTCAACCCAGGAAAAGCAATATCCTAATGCCTAACCGGCATCAAAATGCCACTCACGGTCAGCCCCTTTCACACGACACAAACGCGCAAGATGCACCCACCTTTTGCTGAATTCTGATGAAGGGAGCCGCTGCCTTTCCGTCCTAATATTGACTTTAAGCTGATGCTTAAAGTACAAGATCAGTTGGGAAGAGGTAAACTTCTCACTTCCATAGAATCCCTTCTGTCGCGTCGTCCAAATCACGACTCTCATAACTCCTAGCAAGCAGTGGAACACATATTGTTCAGCCTTCGTCATCGGCGGTGCCACATTGCTACAAACGGAAGAGGCTTGAAGGACAAACGACTTTCCACGCAGCATGCGGACCATGAGGCCTTCAACAAACTTGCACAACGGCACTACCGTCCTGCACTGAAAAAAGGCGTGACACAGGGTCTCGACCTCTCCACCACAACGACGGCAGTTTGGAGAATTTTCCAAGCCAGCTGAAAGTCTTTTGGCGACCCAGAGGGCCCCACGAATCACCAGCCAGGTGAGTGATGCCTCATCGGTAGTGAGACATTTCAACCCGGGC